ATATAAAGTGAGGCACAAAGTGAATATTTATTTAGAATGAGAAAAGAAATAATAAATTTTAAAAAGTATCAATAATATCCAGGAAATAACAATCTTTTTAAATTATAATTGACACCACCAGTAATAATTCTATTTCTGCGTAATTTCACTGCCTGCTCCATGGTTGCCTCTTCAGAGGGCTACAATTTTGTGATGTCATTTTCTGGAGAGAAAATTCAGAGTTTAAATGCCATTTTGTCTGAAAACACAGCTCAGGCCGGGACAAGACAGGCCGTGCCTGCAGACGGGATGAGCTCGGCTACCCAGGGATGCATGGAACACACGACTCACTCACTGCAAACAGGGATTCCAGAAAATTCTATGTTTCAAGATTCTCATTGAAAAAGAAGAAAGGGGGCGATAGTGCAGTTGTCACTGTGTTGGCTGCACCGTGGAGCACAGCCTGTGTCTGGACGCGTGGATGAGCCTCGCCGTCTCCCTGGGCTCCGCGCACCTCACGCCTACATCCTGGGCCGCCACTGCTGACTTCTGGTGCCAGCACCGGAGGACACAGACACCTCTCAGTCCACCACTTTTCCCCAGGCCTCTGCGTCAGGAAACCCAGGGCGGGCGGTGGGTGTGTTTGCAAGAAATCTGTGTCAATCCTCATGACTGCCGGAAGGAATGGCCACAAACGCAGTGATTTAAAACAGAAGTTTATCCTCTCACGGTTCTGGAGACCAAAGTCCAAAGTCAAGGTGTCAGGAGGGTTGTTTTCTCTTGACCCTCTGAGGGAAAACCCATCCCTGGTCCCTCTGCAGCACCTGGTGGCTGCTGGCAACCTTCACGTTCCTTGCTGTGGCAGAACCACTCCAGTCCCCACTCCGTCTGCACGGCCTTCTGCACGTGGGGGAGTGTGTGCCTCCCATGTCCAAATTTCTCTGTGCATAGAGGACACCAGTCATACTGGATTTAGGGCCATCCGGTGACCTCATCATAACTCGATTACATCTTCTAAGACCCTGTGTCCAAATAAGGTCACATTCACAGGTTCTGGGTGGACATGAATTTTGGGGGGANAAAACCCATCCCTGGTCCCTCTGCAGCACCTGGTGGCTGCTGGCAACCTTCACGTTCCTTGCTGTGGCAGAACCACTCCAGTCCCCACTCCGTCTGCACGGCCTTCTGCACGTGGGGGAGTGTGTGCCTCCCATGTCCAAATTTCTCTGTGCATAGAGGACACCAGTCATACTGGATTTAGGGCCATCCGGTGACCTCATCATAACTCGATTACATCTTCTAAGACCCTGTGTCCAAATAAGGTCACATTCACAGGTTCTAGGTGGACATGAATTTTGGGGGGACACCATTCAACCAGTACCCGATCCCTCTCTCTCATAGCTAGAGCGACTGCACACCCATAAACGTGCTCCACTAAACCCAGCCAAGTGTACCCCAGCTCGACTTCCCCTTAACCAGGCTCCAGAAATGCTCTTGGGCCAGTGATTTACACAGTGGGAGGAGACAGCGATCTGGACCAATTGCACTCAAAACAGCTGTCACGAATTTTCCACAGCTCCTGACCACATGAGGGCACTGCAGGGGGTTAGGGGCCCTCCAGGGCCACCAGCTGTTCCAGCAGGAGATGCTACGGTGGGATCGTTATTTCTGTGTTGTAGGAGAGGGGGACCCGCACTGATGCCACCAAGACCCCAACCCCCTGCGGCTTCCCTACGTCTACTGTGGGCCGTGAGCTCATGGGCATGCCTGAGACCATCCCCAAGCCCTCATCCCATGGCGGAAGTTTCTAGCCCCCCACATGCCCTGTTTGTTGTGGGGCCAGCTCTGGGCCCTCCCAGGGACGAGGACACCCCATGAGTGGCCACAGGCCTTGGCTGAGGAACCTGCAGGCCATGCCTGAGTGGTGTCCATGTAACCAAAAACCAGTTCCACGGCTCCCATGGGGGAACCAGGAGCAGGTTCCTGTCCCTCTGAATGAGTGACTTCTACATTCGTTCAACAAATACCAGCTGTGCGGTTGCTCTGCCCGGGGCACAGGTTTAGGTGCTGGGGACACAGCAGAGGATGCACAGACTAGGGGTCCTGTGCCCCAGGAGCCCGCCTGGGAGGAGGCAGGTGATGAGCAGCTGCGGGAAGGAAGCCCCCGAGGTGCCAGCTGCAGTGGGCTTTGGAGAAAACAGCAGGAGGAGCTGGGGGCAGAAGGGAGAGTGGCAGTGCTGGGGCTCAGGGACACCAGGGGCCAGTGTGGGGACACCTGGACACTGTCCAGGTGAGGGATACAGGGCTGAGGCACTGGGGTCGGGGCTCCGGCTGCGTTTGGGGACCTGGTTGGAGGCTGGAGGCCCGCGGGTGGAGGGGAGGTGGGCCAGGTAATGAGGAAGCCAGGCCATGCATTCACTCTGGGAAAGGGGTGCCTGGGAGAGCTGGGAACAGGGGAGCTGGCTGGGCACTGGCCGAGGGTGTCACGTGGAGCAGATGCTGGCTGAGGGTGAGAGTGGTAAGTTGTGGGCTCACCGGGGTGGAGCTGATAGACCCGGCAGGGGTTGAGGCCGATGCCATGGCTCAGCTTACCTGAGATGAGAAGAGGAGGGGTTTGGATTCAGCCTGTGGGGACATCCCTGGTGCCCGGTCCAGGGCTCTGTGTGTCCCTGGCCTGGGCAATGCATTCTGGGACCATGGGCCCCAAGTAGGTTAAATCCCCCAGCTCGGACGAGGTCAGCAAGGCAAGAGGGGCCAGAGAACCACAGCCTCAGGGCAGAGGACGGGAGGGACCCTTTCTCACCCAGTGCTGCCCTAGCAACTGGGTCAGGGCTG